CAACCAGTACTGATAATTAGATAGCCACATGCAAAAAAACAAAACAAGAAACTTAGATCTTTATCTCACACCATACATAAAAATTAACTCACAAAATATCATATATCTTATTTTCAGCCTTTGGTTGGAAAAAGTCCTTAGTATGATGCCAAAAGCATGATCCACACAGGGGGAAAAAAATAATACATTAAACTTCATTAAAACTAAAAACTTTTGGGCCGGCCAAGTGGCGCGATGGTTAAGAACTCACTTGGGATGCCAGAGGGCCCCGGTTCGGATCCCACATATGAGGGCCAGTGACACTGCCCTCTACAGCTAAGATGCTGAACAACAGCTCAACCTGGAGCTGGGCTGCCATGAGTCGCCGGCGACGGCGTGGGCTGCAGTCCCTGTGGCAGTGGATTGCCATGGGCTACCGTGTGTGGCCAGCAGCCAGCGTGAGCGGCCAGCAGCCGCAGTGAGCGGCCGTGCAGAAGCCGGCGACTGATCTGCCTCGCCAGAGAAGAGCGCAATGATGGTGCCAACTTGGGCCAGTGAAGCAACATCCTCCACAACTAGATTGAAGAACAAAAACGACAGCAACTTGTCTGTTCCCCTTTCCCCAATTCCCCAGCACTGTTCCCATCCCCCCAATTCCCCAATAAAAATCTTTAAAAAAAAAAAAAACTAAAAACTTTTGTGCTTCAAAAGTGAAAATGAAAAGAGAAGCCACAAACAAGGAGAAATATTTGCAAATCATGTATCTGATAAAGGACTTTTATCCAGAATAAAGAACTCATAACTCAATAATAAAACGAACAACCTAGTTTAAAAATGGGCAAAAGAGTCAAATAGATATGACACCAAAGCAGACAAACTGATGTCAAACACATGAAAAGATGCTGAACTACTTCATTTAAAAATGGGCAACAGATTCAAATAGATATTTCACCAAAGCAGATACACTGATGTCAAATAAGCACATGAAAAGGTGCTCTCAACCTCATTAGGTTTTAGGGGAATACGAGTTAAAGACTTCTATACACTTATTAGAATGGATAAAATTAAACCACTGACCATATCAAGTGCTGAGAAGGATGTAAAACAACTTGAACTCTCAGACTGCTGATAGTAAATGGTACAACCACTTTGGAAAATGTTTGGCAATTTCTTAAAAATAAAATAAAATATCTGCCACCAGCCATTCCATTCCTAGGTATTCACCCCAGAGAACATAAAGGCTGTACACAAATGTTCATAGCAGCTTTATTTGTAATAGCCAAAAACTAAAAATGACCCAAATGTCCATCAAACGGCAAATGGATAAACAAATAGTGGCATATCCATACAATGAAATACTAAGCAATTAAAAGAAATGAACTACTGATACACACTACCGCTGGATAAACCTAAAACATGTTATATGGAGTGAAAAAAGACAGACAATGAAAACTACATATTGTATGATTCTATTTATATGAAATGTAGAAAGGCAAATGTATAGAGACAGAAAGCAGACTGGTAGTTACTTAGAGGGCAAGAGTATGGACTAACTGCAAAAAAGCACTAGGGCCCCTTTTAGGAAAACGTAAATGCTCTAAAATTGGACTGTTGTGATGGTTTCAGAACTCTATAAATTGACTAAAATTATCAAACTGTAAACTTAACAATGGGAGAATTTTATGGTATGTAAATTACACCTTAGTAAAGTTTTAAATTAAAAAGAAAAAAGAGGCACCATAAAGAGACTAAAAAGACAAGCCCAAAATAGGGAAATAATAAAATGGAGACTAGCAATCTACCAGACGCAGAGTTCCAAACACTGGTTATAAGGATGTTCAATGATCCAGGGAGAACTTCAACAAAGAGATATGAAACATAAAAATGGAAATAGAAAACACAAAGAAAGAACCAATCAGAAATAAAGAATCTAATAACTGAAATGAAGAACATGTATTTTGCCATGTATAAATAATGCATACCAACATTTCTGCACCAAACTTTCAGGGAAAAAAATCTTTTGATTTAATTTTTTAATTCAAATTTTTATTTGTTTACATTTAGGTACTTGTTTTTTATATTATAAATGAATCTTAGCATTTATTTTTTAACATATTATGATACACGAAATTTTATGTAACAAATAATTACAACACATAAGAATACAAGGTACAAGAAATTTTACGTACCATAACAAATTTACAATATTTACATATCATAGAAGGCCAAGAGCTCTTCATAGTTACAAGTTTGTCATAAGTTCAACAAGATTATCATATCCCAGGGTATTATTTTGCATATGGATATCATTATTGATTTCTAGGGTTACTCATAAGCATAAATAAAAGAACTAAAAACTTTTATATAGATACAGAATTAGTACTACCCATGTATAATGTGCATCCTTATTTTTCCCCTCACAAATTTGAGCAAAAAGTGCACATTATACACAGCAAAATATGGGACATTACAGGCGATCAACAGTAGATTAGATGAAGCAGAAGATCGAATCAGTGATTAAGAAGATAGTAGAAAACGCCCAATCAGAAGAGCAAAAAAAAAATAAGAATCCAGAAAAATGAGGACAGTTTACAGGGTCTCGGGGACAACATAAAGCATACCAACATTTACATCATAGGGATACCAGAAGAAGAAGAGAGGCAGCAAGGGATTGAAAACCTATTTGAAGAAATAATGACAGAAAACTTCCCTAACCTGGTGAAGGACACTGACATACAAGCCCAGGAAGCGCAGAGTCCCAAACAAGATGAACCCAAACAGGTCCATAGCAAGACACATCAAAATTAAAATGCCAAAGGTTAAAGACAAAGAGAGAATCTTAAAAGCAGCAAGAGAAAAGCAGTTACCTACAAGGGAGCACCCATAAGACTGTCAGCTAATCAGAAACTTAGCAGGCCAGAAGGGATGGCAGGAAATATCCAAAGTGATTAAAAACAAGGACGTACAACCAAGACTACTTCTATCCAGCAAAGCTACTGTTTATAATCACAAGAGCTTCCCAGACAAGGAAAAGCTAAAAGAGTTCATCACCACCAGTATTACAAGCAATGTTACAGGGACTTCAAGACGACAAGAAAAAAAAAAAAAGATAAAAATATGAATAAATGTCAATAACTACATATGTATCAACAATTACTTTACATGTAAATGGATTAAATGCTCCAATCAAAAAAGATAAGGTGGCTGAATGGATAAGAAAACAAGATGCTTACATATGCTCCCTCCTAGAGACTCAATTCAGAATGCAAGACACACACAGACTGAAAGTAAAGGGATAGAAAAAGATAGTTCATGAAAATAGAAATCAAACAAAAATCTGGGACAGCAATACTTATATCAGACAAAACAGACTTTAAAACAAAGGCTATAACAAGAGACAAAGGAGAATCCAATAACCCCCTGCTAGGTATTTATCCAAAGAAACCCAAAACACTACTTCGAAAGGACATGTGCATCCACATGTTCATTGCAGCATTATTTACAATAGTCAAAATATGGAGGCAACCTGTGTGCCCATCAATGGATGAATGGATAAAGAAGAGGTGGTACATATATACATGGCACATTATTCAGCCATAAAAAAGAATGAAATCTTGCCATCTACAACAACATGGATGGACCTAGGGGATCTTATACTGAGTGGCATAAGTCAGAAAGACAAATGTCATATGATTTCACTTATATGAGGAATCTAAAGAACAAATTAAACATAGATACAGAGAACATTTTGAGCATTGCCTGATGGGAGAGGGGTTGGAGGGTGGGTAGAAAAGGTGAAAGGATTAAAAAGTAAAATTTGGTAGTTACGAAACAGTCATGGAGATGTAAAGTGTAGTCTAAGGAATATAGTCAATAGTATTGTAATAAGTATGTATGTAAATCAGTGGCTGGTTTGGGTGGGATTACCTCATTGTGGAAATATCGGGTCGTAGGAAAAGCCATGAGGTATTTTTCTATGTTTTTCAATGCAAAAATGCGTCATGACTTTCCTGACGATCCAATAAAATAATACCTGTGAAGACTGGCCGAGAGGCCCAGTTGGTTAAGAGTGCGAGCTCTGAGCAATAGGGTTGCTGGTTCGATTCCCACATGGGCCAGTGGGCTGGGCCCGAGCTGAGCTGCCGCTGAGCTGCCAACAAGTGGCAGAATGGCTCAGCTGTTGAGAGCATGTGCTCCTAACAACAAGGTTGCTGGTTCACTCCCACATGGGATGGTGAGCTATGCCCACCTGCAACTATGATTGAACACGGCACCTTGAGCCGAGCAGCCACAAGCTGCTGACAGGTGGCCAGATGGCGACTAGACTTGGAGCTGAGCTAGCTGCATCCTCCACAACTAAGGTTGAAGGACAACAACCTGGCTGTTCCCCTCCCCCAATTCCCCAATAACATCTTTAAAGAAAAAATATAAATAAATAAATAAATAAATAAATAAATAAATAAATAAATAATAAATAAATAAATGTAAAAACAATATATAAATCTAGGATATTAGTAATCAGGATGATATTGAAGAACTCAAGCAGGTAGAAAAAAGCCTTAGCAAATACATCAAGGATTAGAGGGATTCCTAAACCAATGCTATTTGAAATAATGTGAGAACTACATTTTAGAATTTTCTACAACCCTGCCCTACCAGACCTTTAAGTCCTGGCAACAGAATCCAAAAAATGTCACCATAGCTAATATATAAGCAGTATAAAGTCAGTAATCCTAGTTAGGTTTGAGAGTTATAGGAGATATAAGTAGAAGAATGAATAAAACTGGAGAGGTTGAATAGGGGTAAATACAGTTTAAGTAGGCTGATGCCCAGATTTTTATAAATTAGTGACTCAAGACATATAAATATATATACCAGTCAGTAGTATATTCATTTAATACATCACCTATTACTTAGCAACTGATCAAAGAATACATTTTTAAAAGATGAAAAATACTTGTATGTTAATGAGTTGCTATATTTCTCAAAAAAAAAAAAAAAGTATTAGTTAATTTGGCTACCTTTGGTCCTGAAACTGGGTGGATAGTGTTTTTGGCAGATAAAGGATGAGGAAAAGTATTCTGGAAAGCAAATGCAGAGGGGACAGGATAACCAATTCCACAAGTTGGGTAAGTAAGTCTGCCATCAACCTAAAAATAAAAACATAAAAAAAGAATGAGAAATTAGTTCTAAGTAATATTTGCTGATGCAAGAGGCATTAGCATCTGTTATAACTAATAGTTAAAAGCACTATCTCAGAAGCGCGTTTTGTTTATGACGACACCACAAACCTCTGCTTTATTATATAGCACGAGGCTGGGATATCTTGGCTTTTCAGAGTGGCTGTGCAAGTTTAAACAAAATAAACCACGGAACCGGCCTTTGAACTGAGTTAAAACAAAGGCCTCTGAACCATCTTGGTTTGTTCTGGCCCCCAATTCCTGAAATGGAGGGTAGGAGGGGGTGGCCGTAGATCAATGGGCCAATCAGAGATAAAATAAAAGTTATTTTCTGTCAGACTGAGTAGAAACAGGATCATCAGTGTTTGGTTTTTTGGGTTTTTTTTAAGTTTCAGGTGTAGCATCAGTATTCTTAAACCAACTAATTGAGACAATTATTTGCTTTGCCAATAATTTTCAATATAGTAATATAACCATTAACCAATGTCATGAGAAGTTTATTTTAATAAGAGGCCAACTGAAACACAAATTTTAGGAAGCAACTGTATATATCAGGGGCTGTATAGAAAAACCTTTCACATAGCCATTTATCATCAGTCATTAAAGTAAAGCCTGTTAAGCTTTTTCAAGTTTGTAATTAAGTATCAAGCACTTCTCTCCAGACCTTTTCAGTTCAGCAGAAATCCTTTCCCATCTTTAAACACCAGGTACTCTGATATACTAGGGTAGATTAAAATTTCAATCAGGCATTTGAATTTTAAATCCTCCGCCAATGCACTCCAGCCAGTGATTATCAGAAACATATCTACAATGTGCAAGATGGGTTTATTATTGCTCCTTGCAACGAGGGAGAATGCACAAAATGAGGAACCACGGGGTGTCTCAGTAAGAGGGTGTCAAAAGGGACTTATTTATTGGCCTTAGTCATGTGCTTGATGATTTAAGGGGCAGTTTAAGAAAGTGGGGCTTTCTATGCATTGGATGCTATCAGGAAATGGGGATAACTATGACTGGGTATTTGAATAAGTCTTATCTAATAAAGAAGGCGAAATGCATTAAGGCCAAAGCTGTAACTGGTAAGTAATAAAGCAGCAGTCACTCATGTGACCAAGAATAGGAGGATGTTTGTCCATTTTTGTGGTTTGGCAACGTTTGTATTTTTGTCCGTGTTCAGACACGATTATGGAGTGGTCTTGTTTTTGTCTTGATCCATCAGTCACAGAGTGGCCTTGTCTGATATTGACTGCCATGAAACTGTTTATGTTAAACAGGAGAATCCTAAGGCCTAGTTGTGAGTGATAGTCCAGCTCCTAGCAAACCTAGGTCTACCTGATAGCACCAAGCCAGTCCCCAGACATAAGGGGCTGCTTTGCTTTTTCTTCCCTCTTATTTCTTGCTAGGAAAAGGCAAGAGACCTGGTCCTGGAAGCTAGAAAGCTTATACTTCATAGTCAGTTTTTCTAGAATCTAGAGTCAACCAAGTTGGTAACAGGGCTTTTCTCTTCCTTTTCTGAGACAATTCCGTTTAGGTTCCTTCCATCGTAGTTCCGGACTTGAGCCCAAACCTCGTTATCCCTTCTTGAGGCCTCCTAGATACTGTCTGTGTATGTGTGTGTTTTAAAGTGTTTCAGGACATTTGGCATTACTTTAGTTAATACTAAATGATTTCTATATCTATTAAAATCTTCCAAAGAACTCTGCCCTTGAAATACAGACTTTTTCTTAAGAGCAAGTACACCTATGTACCACATCCAAGTGCAACTTGAACTCTACTTCAGTGCTAATAATTGTAGGACTCCAGTCTTATTAGTACCAGCACCTTAAATCATGGAGACTTCCTAACAATCTGAGAATGTTTTTTGTTTTAGGAAATTCACTAATACCACTCACATCTTAATTTAACTCTTACCATGTTAGGGTTAGGAGAAATTCCACTTCTGATGGTGTTGCTACTAGAATGTATAGGTGGAGTAGCAGAAGGTCCCAACACGTCTTGCTTTCTCACTAGCTGATTCTCATTTAGTTCTTTATTTAACCAGGTGATTACTTATATAAAAGAACAAGAAACAAGGTAAAGAATTTTATTAGACTGTTTTTATTTTTCCAATAATTTTAAACATTTAAAAATCATACTGTTTTTAAAATTTTCAGTTTTTAAAACTACCTTATAACACAGAGAACAATGTAGTTTAACTTAAATTTTTGCCATTGAAAATTCTTATTTTATCAGCTGCCACATCGGACTCATTCTATTACTATCAGAAATATATTTCTGCAAGTCAAGGAATCTATAGGCTTTCATTTCTAGAATGGTATCTTACAGTTTATTTAAAGTTCATACTCTTATGTCTAACAACCAATACTAGAAACTCAAAAAATGTTAAAGGTGTAATTTTATATTTTAATTTCAAATAATTAATATTATTACAATTAGGTAAATATAGAAATTAAAAAATAGTGAAGAATTTAAAAAGCAAATTATATCTAATATTTTTAACGCTTTTAATTTTGGGACACTGACATGTGATATGGTTTTCTTTATAATGAAGAAAACTTTTACAGGGCAGATGATGTCTTTACTATAGCAAAGACATTAAGACAGTATATTTCAAGGAGAAGTTATTAGTATATAGAAAAATCCTGATTTTCCCAGACTTCTATGAATTCAAATAAAATATTCAGATTAGTATTAAAACTACAAATCTCATTTACATAAAACATAACATACTTACACTTTTCATTATTTTTTAGAAGCTGTTTGCTTTCTTCAAGTTTTTGAACTGTAGCTTCTAATTGTTCTTGTAATCTGCATACCTGAAATGTCAATCTTCATAAGTATAATAATAAAGGCTAAAATAAAAACTGAGGAAATGTATTACTATCAATTCATTGATTACTCTTAATTATTATGAAATAAGAATAAAGGAATTAGCTTACCTGTATAGTAAAACCTTTGTGTGTGTGTACATACACACACATATATACATATATGAACAGTCAAGGTATTTAAGTCATAATAACTAACTTTTCAAACAAAAATAGGTTATTAACTTCTGTGTGAATCTAGTCATGATCTTTAAAAAACAAAAAAGCTAAAGCCATTCTCTAATATAACAATGTAGAAATTTAAAAAATACATCTGAGGAAATTTGTTATACTTCGCAAATAAGCACCCACAGAAAAGTATAATATATTAACTACCTCTTGCTCTTTATTTCGGAGAGACTGTCCAACATCTTGTAATTCCTTTTGTTCCTTTTGTAATTTTTCTTCCTTCTCAGCCAAGAGTTTCTCTTGCTGAATGGTAACTGTATTCTTCAGTTTCAATTTACCCATTAAAGTTTTCAGATCCCCCTGTAACTTCTTGATAATTTCATTTGCCTGCAAAAGAGCTTCATATGTATATTTCTACATAATCCAATAAAATACTAATGTTTTATTAAATTTTTAAAACCAAACCTTAAGAAGTTCTGCTGATAATGATTTTATGGTAGCTTCAAGTTTTCCTAGTTGTACCTGATTTTTCTCACCATTTTCTTCTAAAGCCACCTGATATATATGTTTTAAAACAAAAAATTAGGGTATTTGTTTAAGAAAAGCATCACTTTATAAATGTGATCATCAATTTGTTTACAAAATTTTAAAATAGACCTTTTGTTCCTGGATTGTATCAAACGCTTCTTTTGTTCTTAAAACAAGCTGGTCTTTATCCTTGATTTCCTGTTCTAGAACAGCCACTTTTGTTTGCAGCTGATTAATATGCTTTTCTTTTTCATGGCATTCAGCATCTAGTGTGGAATTCTCTCTTCGCAAAGAGAGGACTTCTTGCTTAGTCCGCTGGAGCTCCTAGAGGGGGAAAAAAAAAAAAAAGATGCTTATGAAAAAGGGAAGATGGACGATCCGGTTATTTATAACTAAGACGTTTAAAATAGTGTCTAATAATTTTAAAGTTCTAGTACTAATTTTTTTTTAAGGACACGAAAGTCTAAGTGTATATGTAACTTGTAGATTTGGAATGTAATTGTTAAACATGCTAACAACTAATTCAATCACACGAGGAAAAAATAAAACAATCATGATTTATGAATAAATTACTACAACTTTAAAATATAATAACAAGAATTTTCTGATGTCTTGAAATTTACATTTTTAAAAAGTCATTTAGGTAATAAATGTTCATTATAATACAATTTCAAAATACATAAAATTAATTAATAAAAACCCTATCATTCTACCATCTATGCATATTGAAATCACTTGGGAACTTTAAAAAAATCACTGTACTTGCTTTATTCCAGTGTCTGGAACTGAACCTGAAATATCTCCAAGATATGCCTGTACTGATGTCTGTTACCATCCCCAAGAGATTCTGATTTAGTTGTGTGAGGTACGGCCCAGGCACTAAGACAATTAATAGCTTTCCAACTGATTCTAAGGGTATTCAAGGGTGAGAACCATCAGCTAGAGTTGACATTTATCTCTGCTGCTCATACATCAAGATTTTGTCTTTAAAGGGGCTCATACTGTACAGTTTTATAATCTGTCTTCATATACCGGGGGTGCCAAAAAAATGTATACAAGTGGACACTTTGGTCAACGTTACTCAAGCAGTAGTTTGCCATAATCAGAAGTGTCTGGATGCTGATGGTAGCCACTTTGAGCACCTCTTGTAATTGCAGAAGGCAAATGTGACTTATATTCATCTTTTGTTATTGGTATATATTGAGTATTACAATTTTAATAGTTTTCATTTCTTAAAATGTGTTTACATTTTTTTGGCACCCTCTGTATACATTACAAGTATCTTTCCACATCAACAAATGTTAACATTTCTTTGGTTCACTCTTAAAAGCAAATCAAGCAAACAATAATTAAAAATAGACTAAAAAACTGGAATAGATCACTTCCCAATCAGCTAATACCAACCCAAGTGTCGCTGGTATAGAAAAGTCCAGTATATACTATTCCCCGATAATTTTCGTTTTTAACAAAAACTTTACAACATAATTTTACAGTATTGTACCATAATGATTTTAGAAGCACAGACTTTGGTATAAAACAAATTTGAACACAAATTCTGGCTTTCCTGTGTGATCTTGGGAATTACTTAACCTCCCTAAATCTCAGGTCCCTCATCTGTAAAATAGAAATGATAAACACTTCATAAATTATTTCATTTAATCTTCACAAAAACCCTTATGTAAATTGCTTAGCATTTTTCCTGGCACATAGTAAATACTCAACAAATGGTAGCAATTATTATTTTTAGGGCACTAATGCCTAAAAGGCTTAATTTTACATAATTAGGTAACAGTACTCAGAGGTTTAAAAAACAAGTTCCCAGAACTCATTTGCAAGCCTTATGCAACTCTTAAAAGAAATGTTTTGATTAGATTGTATCATAATCAACATAATGAAGTACTTTGTTTATACACTGGCCAGTTTTAGGTCTAAGATAGAAGAAATTATATAGCATTATAATGAAGCATTTAGACTATCCAGTGTATTGTGAAGACTGAAACGTCTTACTAACTGGTAAGAAAGGTGAAAAAAAGTAGGGAGGATGAACTGAAGACACTTATTGTTAGAACAGAATATTCTCAGGATCTGAACATAAAGTTTGTCAGGCTTTAGAGTTTCTGAGCATAACTGAAATGGTGAGATGGAATTGGACATCTTGTGAGCCAGAATAACATGGTGATCTTTGTATTTAAATACGACAGACTTAACAAAAATCCACGTGTTTTCTGATAATTCATATGTTAATTCATAATAACACTAGGAAGGAGTCTATCATCAATGCCAAAGCATCAACAAATGTGTCATCATAACTAGATTGTTAAAATTTCTGTTGCCTGAAAGAACAAGGTGGTAGCAGTAAAGACAAAGACAGGCAAATGATAGAGGGTTCCAACCTTCACTCTTCCACTTACTGGCTATGCAATCACTTGGGAACTTTAAAAAAACCAGTGTACTTGCTTTATTCCAGTGTCTGGAACTGAACCTGAAATATCTCTGTATCAGGCTCATCTTTAAAATAGGCATAATGAGTATCTACTTTAAAAGAACTGTAGTAAGAATTAAATGAGTTAATATATGTGAAGTACTTCAAACAGTGCCTGTCACATAGCAAGTACTCAGGAAGCATTAACATTATCATTACTATTATCATCGCTATTGCCACTAGACACTAAACTTCATGTAGTTATTTGATAGGTTGAGCAGGGTGAGAGAAGAACTAGCTCTGTCAATAAAGTACCCTGAGCTACAGACACTACTAATATTAAAAGTACACTGAAAAACCCTTATGAGGATAAGTCTGAGGCTCAATAAATACTTAGATTAAAAAATAAAAAAAAAGTACACTGAAAAACCTGAGGGCTTTGCCAAAGCTGCTCTTCAAGACCCTAACTAACAATATCCAAGTTTACTTCAGCTGTTTTCAATTAGCCCTTTTTATCAGATTTCAGATTCTCAATGTTTTTTTGCACATTGTCTGAACTGATAACCCTCCCACCAAAGAGATGCTTGCAGAGATCCAAAGGAACATCACCCACACAAGTAACAAGCCCAACGTTCAATACCTCTTCAATACCAGACAGTTTTGCTTTCAGTTCTCTGATGGTGGAGTCGCCTTTATATTTCCTTTCAGTTAGGTCTTTATTAGCCACTTCTAGCTCAGACAATCTGTTCTGTAGCTGCTGGATGTTTCGTTGATGGAGGATTTCTAAATCTTTTTTCTGTTGTTCATGTTGCTGTTGGTGTTGAACCTGCGCCTATTATATAATAAAATATAGTACCAAAATTCAAAGAAAAAACCCCAGAAATGCATATACAGTAAGATTTGAAGAAAAAACAATCTTAATTATTCTTCTATGTAATTATAAGATTCCCCTGTTTTGGATAGAATCTGTTTTCAGTATGGACTTCATGAAAGAGACAGTAAGATCAACAAAGGCAAATGGACCGCTAAAAGTGCCTTCATAATTCCTGCTTCCCCTACGCCCACATACGTTTACATGTAATCATCTTCAAGCTAAGGGAAGAGTGATATATGATTAAGTTAAAAAAAAAAGCAACCTGCAAAAGAGTATATGTAGTGTAAACCTATTTGTGTAAAAAAATAAAATGAACAAGTACTTAAGGAACTTTCAGTATTTCCTTTAAACACCATTTTATTGTTTCAGTTTTTTACAAGTACATACGTTTTATAATGAAAAAAATTTTAAAAATCCACACACCTAAACTTATGAAATCAGCAGGTTATTATTCATTAGTTTTAGTCTTACATTCAGTAAATTTTACCAAAAATAAAATTTGAACATGGTATTAACTGTAAATCTCTCGTGCCTGTTTGGATCATACCACAAACCTATCTTAACAATTTCTGTTGATGAACACTATCAAATCTTAAATACCTTTAAAAAATAAAGTATACTCTTCTAATTATGAAAGTAATACATGCTCTTAAAGGCACAACAAAAGAAAGCACCAGTAATTGATATTCTCATCCAGAAAGTCAGTCTAAAGATTTAGGAATATTCCTTTCCAATCATTTATATATTTAAATTGACATCACTCACACACATACCACATACATATTAACAAATTAGGACCAAGCTACTTATACAATTTAATCATGCTTTTTATTCCCTTAGCATTTGCACCTTCTCACATCATTAAAATTGCTTGTAAACACCTTAGTAGCTGTACAATATTCCATCCATAGCTACACCTTAATTCACTTAACCCGTGCCCTACTATGGACATTGAGTTTCCAATTTTTCGCAATTGCAAATAAAACTATGATTAATATTTTTGTCCACAGACACACATCCAAAATTCAGATTATTTCCTTATGATCGATTATAGGTCAAAGAATGCAAACAAATATAAAGCTTCATACAAGTTCCAAAACTGCATTCCAGAAAAGTTGTATCCATTCAAAAATTCCTACCACAAGTGGAGGGGGAGTTATCTCTCTCATAAAAGTACTTTGGAAATTTTACAATTCTATTTTAGGACTCCCCTAATTTTTGGAAAACTGGAAAGGGGAGGAGAAGGGGGGAAAAGAGATAAAAGAGGAAAGTGTCCACATAAAACTGAAAATGTAACCTTGAAAGAAAACACTGAAGGATCAATGAAGAAAAATTCCCAGAGCAATCTAGTAAAGATGCTAACTGTAACAAGAGGGTCATCAAAGGCAATAAAGGTCAAAACCAGTAAAATAAAGAAATGGCTTTATCCCAGTGATCATCAGAATTTTAGAGGTTTTGTTTAAAAAACAACAAAAAAAGGAGTGAGGGATAGAATTACAACATTTACGTTTTCTACTTTATTTCAGGTGATTCTGATGCACACTAAGGTTTTAAAATCACTGCCTTACAGAATATCTATCAGCAGGATGAGAAGAGAGTGGCCTGGTTTTAAACTCTCTAAGGAGTGATCCACAATCCTATTAGGAAAATGCAGTAAGGAATACAAACAAATCCTTCAATCACGTTGCAGTTTTAAAAAAATGCACTTATGATGAGACTTTTAGAACCTAACTTGTTTGAAAATAGAGCCAAAACTGTGGTGGTAAATAACAGAAATTAATGAAATAGAGGTAAAAACAGTGTAGAACTCATTAATAAAATGAAAAACTGGTCATTCAAAAATACGAAAAAACAGACAAACCATCAAGTCTCATTAAGATACTATTACACACTAACTGTAAACTAGTATACGAGGTCAGACAATTAAGTTCGTGAACTCATCCTACTAAAAGTGCTACACACCTCACTGCTGAATATCACTATGGTCACCTTTGAAGCACTCCCCTTGGAAAGCCATGCACTGATGCCAGTGCCTAGCCCACCCTTCAAAGCAATTTTGGAACTCTTTTTCTGGAATGGCCATCAGAGCTATTCTCATATTACCCTTGATATCTTGAATGTCATCAAAATGTCTTCCTCTCAATACTTCCTTTATCTTCGGGTAAAGAAGGAAGTCATTGGAGGCCAGATCAGGTGAGTAGGGAGGGTGTTCCAATACAGTTTTTTGTTTACTGGCTAAAAACTCCCTCACAGACCTGTGTGAACAGGTGCATTGTTGTGATGCAAGAGCCATGAATTGTTGGTGAAAAGTTCAGGTCGTTTAACTTTTTCATGCAGCCTTTTCAGCACTTCCAAATAGTAAACTTGGTTAACTGTTTGTCCAGTTGGTACAAATTCATAATGAATAATCCCTCTGATATCAAAAGAGGTTAGCAACATCGTTGCAACAAGTTCGCAAACTTAATTGTCAGATCTCGGACACATTTTAGAAAACAGTTTCGCAGTTTCTACTAAAACTAAACATATGCCTACACTAGAACCTATTGCAGCTAGTCCAACCCTGAATACATACCCAGAGAAAATGAGTACGTGTTCACAAAAACACATGTATAAGAATGTTCATAGTAATTTAATTAATAGCAAAATATCAGAAATACCAAATATCTACAAAGAGAAAATACATAAATTATGGTATATTCATATAATAGAAAACTACACAATAAAAAGAAATACTCAAGAATACAACTGAATCTCCGAGATATTACACCAAGTGAAGGAAGCCTAATACAAATAAGTATATACTGTATGAGTCCATTTGTATCAGCAGTTCTCAACCTGTGGGTCACGACCCCTTTGGGGGTCGAACGACCCTTTCACAGGGGTTGCCGGGTACTCATATGTGGGCGTATCTGCATGTGGGCCTGGAGACGGATAGAGGAGCGGTGTCTCGGTTCCTAAGACCATCGAAAATATGTGTTTTCCGATAGTCTTAGGCGACCCCTGTGAAAGGTTGAGAACCGCAGATTTATATGAAGTTGAAGAACAGGAAACACTAATCATGATGATAGAAGTCAGAAGAATGAGGACCTCCTGTGGGAGTATGATACCAACTGGGAAGGCACACAAAGGAGCCTTGAAGGATGGTACAATTTTCTGAATATTAATTTGTGTGAAAGTTACACACAAAAATACCATCAAGCTGTACCCTAAAAGCAAACATCAAGTACATAAGAACAAAAATAAAATTTAATATTAAAGAAGCTATTATATAAAAGGTAAAAATCCACATCACAAAGCAGTAGACAATGATAGTCACATAGAAAAAGTAAAAGATGTTAAAAAGCAATCCACAAAAGAAATAAAAATGGCTGAAAGTCATAGTAAAAAATGCTTATTGTCACTAAAAATCTAAGAAATATAAATTAGAACTAATACTACTACAGCCCCTATCAGGTGGCAAATATTAAGAAGGTTAATAATAATATCAAGATTATGGGGAAATAGGTATTACCATACATAATCTTTGGGATTCTATTTGGTACAATCTTTTTGGGTGGCAAATTTGTAATATCCATTAATATTTTCTATGGGTATACTGCAATCTCACTTTTAGGAACAAAAGTTCCTAGAATGTTCACTGCAGTCTTATTTGCAATAAACAAAATTTTGAAACATGTAAATGTCCACCAGTTGGAGAAGTAGTTAAATAATTTCTTATATCCAAATAATGAGTACTATACAGCTACTAAAAAGGAATATCTGAGCTGATAAAGAATGATACCTATGATGTCATATTAGGTGAAAAAAAGTTACAGTCAACGTATCCAGTAGGACCTCATTAGCACAACACAAAACCAAGGGCCAATTGAGTGGCTCAGTTGGTTAAGAGCTTGCTCAAGAGTGCAAGCTCTGAGCAACTGGGTCGCCGGTTTGATTCCCACATGGGCCAGTGAGCTGCACCCAAGATGAACTGCCACTGAGCTGCCAACAGGCAGCAGGATGGCTCAGCTGGTGAGAGCACATGCTCCTAACAAGGTTGCCTGTTTGAGATGGTGGGCTATGCCTGCCCACAACTAAAGGCTGAACTTGGCAACTTGAGCTGCACTGCCACCCAGATGGCTCAGGGAATAGAGCACACACTCTTAACAACACAGCTGACGGTTCGACTCCCGCATGGGATGGTGGCTACGCCCACCCACAACTAATTGAACACAGCACCTTGAGTTGAGCGGCACGACTGGACTTGGAGCTGAACTTGCTGCACCCTCCACAACTAAGATTGAAAAACCAACAACTTGGTGTTACCCTTCCCCAATTCCCCAACACTGTTACCCCCCCACACAATTCCCCAAAATCTTTAAAAAAAAGAAAAAGAAAAACAAACCAAAACCCATTATGTGTGTACATACATGTCTATAATTTCATATAATTTACATATTTCAAAATTTATAAACAAATATTCATAAATTATATATTACTTACAAATGTACAGAAAAGTTTGAAAAACCACAAATCAAAATATTTATAATCTCTCGGTACTAAGACTTTAAAGGAGACACCTTTAATTTTTATATACTTCTGTAAACTCTGAAAATTTTAAAGCAAGCTATATTACTTTTATTATTAACAAAATAACAGCAATAACAAAATTATTTTTCCAGTTTCTTTATTGTTCGTACCTGTAAGGCTTTTTCCTTCTCATTTGTCAGTTCCTGAGAATGTTTATTTGACAATGCTGCTGTGTGTGATGCCCATTCATTCCGTAACTTATCTAATTCTTGGATTTTTTCTGATAATGTCTGTATTAGGGTTCAATACAAAATATTAAGACAGTCTCCTGAATAGGTTATTCAATTAGAATATGGCTATATTTACAAGGATCTTAAAAAAAAAATGGAATCACAGCTTTTCAAGACATACGCAAAGATTTTTTTCAATTTGAGGAAATCAAGGTTAGAATACAAGCAATGTCAGATCTAAAATGTTCCACTGGTCAAGCTTAACTATCTTTAACCTTTTAGTTAAATCTGGCTCTTTACCACCCAATCCTCTGGCATTAAGAAGTAAAGCAACCCAAGGTAGAGCAAGTCAGTCCTAAGAAGTAGTTCACTTATACACATAAAACCTAGTAACATAGGTTCCCAAGTGGGCCATGTTGTGCAGGATATTTTCTGCCTGAAATCATGTAGCTTATCAAACAATTTGAGCTTCAATTTAAGGACTAGGGCAAAAAGGTAGTAGCTATGACTGAAATGATAAACCTATCAGAGGAATTAATTCTAAACATAACAAATGGAAGGTTTACAAGAGGAACTGAAAGGTCATTTTATACAAGAGGAATGAGGTAAATAAAAGGAGCAGAGAACTAACATGTGACAGACACTATATAATGAAGATTTGGAGGCAGTGTGTCATAATAGGGATAACAGGGGTGTTTGGATGGAATAAAATATCAAAGGGAGAAAGCATCAGATTAAGATAATTAACTGGCAGAGGAAGGGTGGCAAAAAGGAAAGGGAATTCTGTAGTAGCATGCTTTGAAAAAACATACACAAGAGCCTAGATTGGATTCATGAAGCAATTCAGAGCCAATGTTTGAATGATTTACAAAGACAAAATGAAATTTGAATTACCTTTTGTGTGAAATTCAGTTGCCGAGTAACATCCTCTAGTGACTGTGTCAACGATAATTTTTCTTCCTATTTAAAAAAAATAATAAAATTATGTAGTTTACAATTTAATTATCCGTAGCTGTACTGCTCAAAGTGTAGCAAGATACAGCATCAGAGACACCCTGGGAATTTGGTAGAAATGCAGAATCTCAGGCTCCACCTCAGATCTTCAAAGTCAGAAACTGCATGAGCAAGATCCCCAGATTTGTGTACCATTAAATTCAGTAACATTTGACTGAAGAGACTTTCTGAAAACTTTTTTTAAGAGGCATCCCAATGTTGTTTCCTCATGCCATATGCCTTAGTTATAGAGCACGCTGTAATTTTCAAATAATTTATTTAAGATAGGCTAGATATTTCCATATCTACAGGCTGATGAAACCATGACACCAAGAATTTAAGTGACCTGCCCAAAGTCACAGAAAATTAGTAAAAACCTTGAGACCTAAGTTTCTCAATTGCTGGTCCAGTTCCAGCCGTTATACCCTGACTAAATGAAAAACAATAAAATTATTACATGTTATACAAATTTACTGTACATCTTTACTCAGAAAACAAAACCTGAAAGCAATACAGCTCTTCAGTGATTTATCAGACTCCTTTGGTACTTATTTTAAAAGAATAACTTAAATTTAAATCTTACCTTGCTACATTTCAAACAGCCTGCTAGAAACTTCTTTATTTCCACATCATTTCCAGGTAAAACTTTTAGTGAGAGGTGTGTGAGATGCTTAAAAGGATTTGTCTCTACCACATTTAAACAGGCAGGAGAGTTATCCAAAATAGCTGCTGGAGAAACTAACTGTAACAAAAACCTTTGGAAAGAAAGTATCACATTATAACACATTTATGATACAGTGAAACTCTTCCATTGAATCATGAGCTCCATTAAATGGATCATCCTGAGCTATGATTCTATGGCTCATCAATGATTAGAAGGATCAGGAAAGGGGCATATTGGAATCATAGGCGCCAGTATGAAAGGACTCCCAATGATAAAATTGGATAAATTGGTTTAAATAGTAAAATGTATAAACTGGACAAGAACAAAGACTGATTGAAACAGTGAATACATAAATGTCCATGAATTCACAATGAGAGGAAAGCAAAAAACTAAAATAAAAAAAAAACCAAAAGCTCATTGAAACCACAAAAATAACTAGAGTAACAACTCCTTGCTCTGAAAACTGACAACTTTAAAGTAAGAATAAAGCATTTATCCTTTCCTGTATGAATTTTCGGAGTAATCAAATAGCCCTAATAGATGAGGGCAAGTTCTTTATAGAAGATTTACACCTAATATAGAAATAATAGAATTAGAAAAGCATAATTTTGTATTTCCTAATAAAATAAATGATTCAATTAACAGCCATCAGTTGATGAACCGACAAATAAAAAGTTTGGTGAACTTTACAACCAAAGTATCAGGCATTAGCACCACATGAATATTCATACACACACACACAAAAGCTTCTTCTTTCCTTTTTCCAAGTTCACTATAAAAACTTATAATATAGAAAATATTTTGCCATCAACTTGTCTTATAAAGAAGAGTGTGTCTTAAGAGAAGTTTAGTGATGCAGTGAGTGCTCTCATGAGACTTACCTCGGAATCTCTTTGGCATGCTCTTGAGTACATTGCTGAAGGAGATCTATAAATTTTTGTGGGAAAGCTAAGAAGTCTACCAGAAGACCTTGCTGAAATTTTAAACTACATAGAAGACAGAAAAAGAGATTTTAAAAATGTTATCACTATCTTTAATCACAGTTAATACCCTGAAAGTTTTTTGGGTTTTTTTTGTTGTTGTTGTTTTACTGAACACCCATAATCAAGAAATAAACTAAGGATCTTTGACATTTATGGAATTTATTCAATGGGAGAAAAAAAGTCAATAAACTATAACTCCAATTTTCTGAGATATTTTAAGCAAAACTCTGATCAACTATGAAATATTTATTTTCAAAAACATTCTGAATAATTATAGTATAAATAGTCCAGTGTTTCTAAAATATCTAAATGCTCCTAACAGGTATATATTTCAAAAAGAATAGTACAAATGCACTCATAAAACTTAAAAACTTACTTATTCCTAGATTAAATATAGGACTAGAAAAATAAATTTAATTTAGTTACCTCTGAAAATCTTCCTCAGATATAACAAGGTTATATAGGAAAAATGGATCAGTTTCATCAGTCAGACGGATAACTAAATCCTGAAAGAAAGATTATTTTTTAATGTTTTTAGTAGATCTGGCTTTTAGAGTAATTTCATCCTTCTTGGAAGTGAAATCATCCAACGACATCAGTGTATCACCATTATATTTCAGATGGCTTTGTTTTATGGTGCTGCTGGATTTTCCTTAGTCTTTACAGACTTACTATCTTAAACGGGTAGATATTCTGCTTCTTGAGAACCACATGGGGGTCTACAAAGGTTAATTAAATGATAAGAGTTCTAAGTTTAGGAATATCATCCTAGCAAAGGCTTAGGAAAAATTCAGATCTAGCCCTTGCTGCAGTATAATACTATACTACGACAAAAATATTCTTTATCACTGATCATATCATATTCAATCATATTTTCAGTTTCCTTCAAGTTAATTGTCTGGTATTTCAAAGGTGGCAAATACATCAGCAGAAATGACAAACAATCACCCACCCTAGAAAAGAAAGGAGCATTTGTTTCTCAGGCCGAGGACGGGTATCAGGTGACATGTTGCCAGGGCTTCTTCCTAAGGGCCTATTCTCTCCTACTGCAGGTAGCCACTGATATGGTGGAACTCCATCTGTTTTCAGTTTCAAATGAACTCAATACCTTTCATAAAGACCACTTTCCAGGTAGTTAAATTTACAGTGTGGCAGACATCACAGCAGCTAAAGCGGACAGAAAAGTATACAGAAAGCACGTACTTCAGAGAACAATGGTGTAAAGAAAACAGGCATAACAACAAGATGATGGAGGAATAATAAAGAAATAAGCATACAGGTTAAGAATAAGCTTCCACTTGAAACAAAATCTACTCGTGGCTACTGAGGAATTGTTAGGGGTCCTAGAAAAATCTAAACTACCTTTAAGTAGAGCTAAAAAATGAAGAGGTACAGCAGGAATAAGGAAAAACATGTAAGAAGTAAAATATATAATCTCTACCCTGGAAAATTAGCAATCTAGGTATCTGCTCTGCCTCAAAATGTCCTGTTCTTAAAGCAGATCCTATTGAAGTATTTTTTTTCATTCTGCTTTTCAGTTACAGTTGACACACAGATTACATTAATTGCCTGTGTACAGCATAGTGGTTAGACATTTATAACTTACAAAGTGATTTCCCCCAAGTCTAGTGCCCCCTTGAAACCATACATAGTTATTACAATATTACTGATCGTATTCCCTATGCTTTTTGAAATCTACACCAAGATGCTATTAAAAAAAAAACACCTGAAGCTGCTACTACTATTACTAGATCCTTGAATATGTTTGGGGAAAGTTATGACACAGAGAAAACAGATGCTCTATTTCTTAGCCCTCTGTTCTGTATCCATATCTCTGTTAATGACTCATACTTCTGAAGATCACATAGGACTCATGCTCTAAATGCCTCTTCAAAAGACAAAGTAAAAGATTCAAGAATATCTCCCTGCAGAGCTTCAATCCATTCTGTTCTCACATTTACACAAGAAAGGTCAATTCTATAGGGTGGCAATAAATATTCTAGCATTTATAAGTGTATTGGGCAAACCTAAGGAATCTGTTCTCCCAATTCCCATTCTTCTTCTATGCTTCAGAAACATACGGCATAATCACCTCTCAGTTGTTGTCTAAGTAGATTCTACCACCCAGATCTGCAAGTCACAAAATGGCCCAAAATTAAAAAGATGGATATACAATGAGATATCACCTCACACCTGTTAGAATGGCTATCATCAACCAGACAAGTAATAACAAGTGTTGGAGAGGCTGTGGAGAAAAAGGAACCCTCATACACTGCTGTTGAAAATATAAAATGGTACAGCCAATGTGGAAAACAGTATGGAGGGTCCTCAAAAAATTAACAATAGAATTATCATATGCCCTAGCAATCCCTCTTCTGGGTATCTACCCCAAAAATCTGAAAACATTTTCCATAAAGATACATGTACCCCTACGTTCACTGCAGCATTATTCAAGGTGGCCAAGACATGGAAACAACCAAAGTGTCCTTCAACAGATGATTGGATAAAGAAGATGTGGTATAGAAACACAGTGGAATACTATTCTGCCATAAAAAAAGATGAAACAAGCCATTTGCGACAACATGGATGGATCTTGAGATTATTAAGCTAAGCGAAGTAAGTTAGACAAAGTCAAGAACCATATGACTTCACTCATATGTGGGATATAAAACTGAAAGCAACAAAATAACAAGACGAACAGAGACAACAGTTTAGTGGTTAGCAGAGGGTAAGTGGGGAGTGGGTGTGGTGAAAGAGGAAAAAAGAAGTCAAATATGAGTATGGTGATGGAAGGAGAATTGACTTTAGGTGGTGAACACACAATGCAATATACAGATGATATATTGAGTTGTTGGAAAAGTCATGATGTATTTTTTCTGTTTTTCGTGGTGAAAATGCGTCACGACTTTTCCGACAACTCAGTATTATAGAAATGTACACTTGAAATCTATATAATTTTACTAACCGATGTCACCCCAATAAATTTAACAAAATTTAAAAATAAATAAATAATATGGGTGCAACAAGAGATTTCACATTCTTAAAGAACAAAAATAATTATAATGTACAGAAATTATATTTCAAAAAAGAAATGAATACCAACCTTTCTGTGAACTGGATTAGAAACTGATTGTAGTTCAATGCTCACTCTAACACTTACTCTCCTGTGTGAAAAGATACGCCCACCATCAGAAACAGTCACATGAAATGAGTTATCACTGTCATTTGTATTAGCTAGAGTTTTCCATCCTAAGCTACAAGATCTTCCACAGGTATTTCTTAATTTATAAACAGATGTTGGGAAAGCCTACTCGATTTGAAATTTAAGGTCTTGTTCCTCCACTAGTTAAGTAGCAATCAGGTTTTTAACCCGAGGCTGAATTTTTATCTCCTGTAAAATGGGGTTGTTGTGAGGATTAAATGAGGTGAATGATGTAGAATACCTAGTACTAGCCTGGTACATAACCTTACTGCCCTGATTCTAAAATAACATCTACTGAAAGACAAACCATCAATTTAATAACATTTCACATTAAAAAAAAATCACCAATTCAAATAATCAAATGATATATGAGAGAATGCATTTGAAAAACTTAAAACTGAAAATGTGAATATTACACTATAGGAATGTTTAGAGTCAAGGAAGAAAGAAAACATAATCCCTACCCTTATGCGTGCACAACCAGATCCACAAACTACACCTGCTCAATATACTATGTAATATATCCACAGAAGTACTGTCAACAAGTTTATTATCATCTATCTTAGAGTAGTTACTCTAACCCTAAAAGGTTGAAACCATAGCTTTCCACATTCTATACTGCATCTTAGAGAATCCAGTATCAAACAGAGGTATATAAATAAAGGTGCTCATAAATAATCAAATGGAACAAAAATGTTTAAATTAGAAAATAAAGGGAGAAATTGGTGGAAAAACATCTCTATATAAGTGGCTCTCAAACCATTCTGCTTGAATTAAATAACAATGGTCTTTCCCTAATGTGCATGGAAAGAAAAACTAATTGATTTTGTTCAACTTTAAGTTATTCTTCTAAAGATATGTTTTACACATTTCCCACATTCTGGTATTACTTATGTACTAGAGTGTTGATGGAAAAACTTGGTAATAGTTGCCCAAGGCTAGATTCAACTATTTTAATTTTTGTATGCTTACTTATAATTTTATATTGGTTTAAAACATGTCATTTTAGTTAATTTTCTTATTGGACATATAACTGGATGCTCAATCCTAGTTCATATGATCAGGTTACCATAACTTGCATCTGTTATCTGAAAAGGAACAAGCAGCACTAGTGAACATTATTACAAAGATAGGAAGAACTGTCTTTAAAACAAGAGAATATTTTGTTTCTATTTTTCTAGTATCTAGAGCAATATACATGAACCAGATTAGATTCCTACTCCACTTAAATTAAGCATTCTTGGGGGGAAATCCTTTCAATTTCCTAATTTGTAAGATAAATGGATTGAGTTAGGCTTGTGAGGGCTATTTCAGCTCTACAATGTCATTATGCTTGGTTTTCATCTTTTGAAGTTTTTTTCTAGTACATATTGCCATAGTGGTATGACACTGTAGTTGATAACGAACTTGGTATGGTGATTTACAGTTTTAAAAGTTCTGGTAGGGCCAGCTGAGTGGCACGTTGGTTAAGAGCTGGCTTGGGACGCCAGAGGACTCCGGTTCGGATCCCACATATGAGGGCCAGTGACACTGCCCTCTACAGCTGGGATGCTGAACAACAGCTCAACCTGGAGCTGGGCTGCTGTGAGTCGCTAGCGATGGCTTAGGCTGCAGTGGGCTGCTGTAAGCTACAGTGAGTGGCAGGCAGCCGGCTTGAGCCGCCGTGAGCGGCCGTCCAATGGCCAGCAAGCGACTGTCTCGCCTGGGAAGAGCACAATGATAATACCAACAACCGCCAGTGAAGCGACGTCCTCCACAACTAGACTGAAGAACAAAAGGACAGCAACTCGTCTGTTCCCCTTCCCTGATTCCCCAGTGCTGTTCCTCTCCCCCAATTCAATAAAATCTTTAAAAAGAAAAAACAAACAAACTTTATTTACAAAGAAAAGCAGGGGGCCACCTGGCTCATGGGCTGTAGTTTGCTGACTCCTGCTATAGGTGACAGGAATATATGAACAGTTTCTAAAAGAAGTGAAAGGGTTGCAACTGTTTTAAAAATATAACGTGATGATAATGTTGACAAAAAAAAAATTCTGAGATGTTCTAAATTAAATTACATCCGCCAGAGAGAGAGAAAGAGACAGGAATAATTAATCAGCTAATAGCTGTGGGCCAGCTGTCAAAAGACTGCTCGCATTCCTGTATGTCTGTTGGAATTTTGGACTAACTTCCAGGTGGCGATTTCTACAATTATCTAAGAGAATCGCCAGGTGCCATCCATCCACCCTCAGTACCTTCCACTTCATTTACACGTGAACTTGCCATCTGTTGCCCACAGCTAACCCCCAGAAGACACTTCCTTGCCAACTCTGCGTACCTAACCCAGACTAGCCCCTGTTCACCTCCCACCCTCTTTATCTATAGTTAATATAAATTCTTTTACAACCTACGTCTTTCTTCTCCTTACGTGATGTATAAAAAGACTGGACAACTCCAGAGTGGCAGACATGTTGGCTTTTCCACCTGGTTGTTTAGACTTCATGATCCAGGACACCTGGTCATCTTTTTTTTTTTTTTTTTTTTGCTAGCAAGGGCTTAATAAACACTTTGTTTAAAATTACTTTCAGCTGTGGAAGTTAAAAGTTTTGTTTAACAATGTAATGAGATGAAGAAGAGCTGGGAGTTTCAATGTCAGCATCGGAAATGATGGCCCCATCTCGCTTTTATCTTTCCATAATCATTCTAGAATGGTGTTGTCCAATAAAGATACAACGGAGGTCACAAATATGAGCCACATATGTAATTTTAAATTTTCTAGAGGCCACATTAAAAAACTTTAAAGAAACAGGTAAATTAACTTTAATATTTTATTTAACCCAATATACCATAAGTAATTATCATCTTAACATAATCAATATAAAAATTGAGAGTTTACATTCCTTTTTTTTATAGTCTTCAAAATCCAATGTGCATTTTACTCTTACAGCACATCAATTCTGATTAACTCCAATTCAAATGTCCAATAACTACCTGTAGCTCCCATATCGGGCAGCACAAAAGAATGACCAACTGAAGTAACCTACAGATCTCCTATGCAGCTGCTGGTTTTGGTGCCAACTCCTTGCCTATCTTGTCAATTGATTTGGACCTAATTAAACTATATACTAGTTTCACATTACTGGCAACTCAATAAACCAGTTGTTCACACTTTCTGTGTCACACAGCCACACCATTTAGTTTTCACGTACATCTTCACACTTGATACTCATAATAATCATGTCAGTAGGCATGTTATGCCAGTTTTACAAATGAGGAAACTTAAGGCCCAGAGAAGAGACAGTTAACAAATGGGCAGAACTGAGACAAAATTAAAATCGCCTGAGTTCTAGTCAAATCACTCTACGTAAGCCCAACAGTACCACCTCCCTAGTTAAAGTTGTAATTGCATTTATCTGTGAGATGAGCCTTTACTTCCTACCCCACTAGACTGTAAACTCCACGACGACAAGGGCTGTTTTTTCTGACCACTGTATCCCCAGAGCCCAGCAAGGTGTTTTTGTTTTTTTTTAATTTTATTGTTAGTTTCAGGTGTACAGAACAATGCAATAGTTACCCTTTTCACCCTCACAAAGTAACAACCCCCTCC